CTAAAACTCATTAATGATAATCCCATCGCATTCATCAGTAACATAAGCTCCTGAATCTTTATCGGACATTTACTATTAGTCCGTCTAACACTTGTATTATGAACCATAGGTTTTCCTTTATAATATCACTCAATATCAAGTAGAATTGGATATTTCTACTTTCAAATTCCTTATTTCATTCTTAAGGAAATATGTATAACTTATCCATATCCAAAAATAATATTCCTGAGCATTTGAAACATTTTCAATCTCAAATGAAAGTCTCAATGTTCACATCGTTCATTTAAGAAAACTTGATAAATTTTATTGCAATAACTTCATAGCAGTTAATGCTAAAATCACACTATCAAGCAAATTTACTATTTTTCCTCACACTACGAACCTGAAACTTTTCAAGTTTTTGATATTCAATTTCGATCTGTACCATAATTCTTTGCAGCATGAAAGGTTAGACAGTCCATTTTAACATATTTACCTTCACAAGGTAACTCTATCCATTTTTATGGATATGATATATATTCTCAATCCAACTCATAACTATTTGATTCACTATTAACTCAACTTCCTTTAAAATTGTAGCGGAAATCATATTCACCGCTTACTCAATTTCTCTTACTCAAATCAACAATGATTTAAACAATTTAATGCTTAGCTTAAATATTTCTCACTTATTTATGCTTACCTAGAGAAACCTCAGAATCATCACTAGATTTAGAAATTTTCTCTGGATCCTTATCCGATTCAACTTTTCTTGTAAGTCATTCAAACTTTTTAATCAATTCTTCCTATTCAAAAAGCTTCATTAAAAGCTGGGGCATTTCTTCTACAAAATGGAGAAAAATCCTTTATAACATCCACCCTTCTAAGGTGTTTTACATAAGTCATGTCGGGTCCTTTTTTTCGATTTCAATCTCAACCTTCTTTTCAACATTATCAACATTCTAACCTTTGTCTTTAATTCCAACATCTGACCATAATCAGAATCATCATACATTAGTAAAGAGTATCTTTACTCCCAATAAGCATCATCATAGTATATATACAACTATCAGTAACTTTTGACATTCTAGTGGCATGTATACACTTTTTAACACAAAACAAACTCAATTTAGTCCTAGAATCGGCTAAACCTATAGCTCTGAAGCCAATATATGTAACACCCATAACCCGTATAATTATACCTATACAGATTATAGATGTTATCCGAATTTCTAAAACCATTTTCAATCCAAAAGTGATTTAAAATTTATTTAATTGAAATGATAACTGGTATTATAAAAATATCATATCATAAAAATCATGTTTCGTTATAACAAATTTAAAACAAAATATTTTTTATAAACAGTGAACAGTGAGGGTATCGGTACCTGTAGCAGGGTATCGGTACCCCTGTAGCATTTTGGAAATTTTTAAGCGTGGTTACTGTTATTGTAGGAAAATTCTACTAAAATCAAATACTTTTCTTTTCCCTTGATTCCTTGGAATCAAACACACATGCACTCAGCATATATTCTAATATCTAAATAATACTTTTTGACTTATCATCCGTCTATGAATTAAAAATCATACTGAAATTCAATCAAGTACCCAAAACTTTATGCAATTATTTTATAAATCTTTAAAATAAACTTTGTATCCCTGTCGGATATAATGGATATGGATACTCCTTGTACTCGAACTATTTCTTTAATAAATAACGTTGCATATTTATCCAACGCATAGTCCATTTGCATCGAAATGAAATTTTCCGATTAAATTAACCGATCACTATAACCCAAATGAAATCCTTTTTATTGGATATAAAAGGTAGGCCATTAACAAAATTCATAGTGACTTTTTACTATTTCCACTCTGGAATAGAAATTAGTTGCAACAATTACGAGCACTTTATGCTCAGCTTTTACTTGTTGACATGACAAACATGTAACAACAAACTTAGTAATGTTTCTTTTCGTACCTGTCCACCAAAATGACTCTTTACATCTTGATACATTTTGTTCCCACCTGGATACATAATTAGTGGACTATAATGCGCCTCAGAAAAATATATTTCTCCAACTCATCATCATAAGGAATACAAATTCTTCCTCGATAAGATAGACACCCATCAAAGTTGACTTCAAAGTCTTTAGTCTCACTTTTTTCCACAAGTGAAATAATTTTTTAATTATCTCTCATTTTTTTCTCTTTTTTCTTTTTTTTTCTATTTTTTTTCTTTTTCTTTTTCCTTTTCTTCGTTCTTTTCATTTTCTTATAATATATATTTTTTAGCTCTTATGCCATATGCTGAGATAACAAGACTAAGAAAATCAACTTCTGATAGTCGAAACTCACACTTTGACAGTTTAGCATATAACTTTTTATCCTTAAGTATCTCGAGCACAGTACAAAGATAAGCATCATGCTCTATCTTTGTATTCGAGTATACCAGAATGTCATCAATACAAACCACCTCAAATTAATCCAAGTAAAATTGAAATACTTGATTCATCAAATCTATGAATACTGCCATAGCATTTTTCAAACCAAACGGCATCACTACGAACTTGTAGTGTCTATACCATGTTCTAAAAACTATCTTTGGAACATCTTCCTCTTTAATATGTAACTAATGATATCTCATTCGAATATCAATTTTAGAAAACATTGCTACTTCTATTAAGCTGATCAAACAAGTCATCAATCCTCAAAATAGGATATTTGATCTTGTTAGTTACTCTGCTTAACTATCGATAATTTATGCATAATCGCACATATCTATTTATTTTAAACAACACTGATTCACCTCAATGTGAAATACTCGGTCTAAAGAATCCTCAATTTAGCAGCTCTTGCAATTGGTTCTTTATTCTCTTAACTCAATCTCAACCATTCGATAGGAATCCATATATACATGATTAATTCCTTGATAACCATCAATATTAATTTCCACCTCTCAATCTGAAGATAACCCAAATAATAAATCTAAAAATACATATGAACATTACCAAGTTATGGAAATATCATATGATCTTACTTCAGATACTTGAGTATCTATCAACATAGCTAGAAAAACTATGCGTCCTTCATACATCATCTTAATCATAACAATTGCTGATATCACGTTAGTGATGATTTCACTTTTTCCTCAATCATTAAATTTTTTTAATTTCTTCGCATTTTTTCAAATTAATCACTTCTTGCGATTGCGATTATTAACCCAATCTTAATGCAAACATAAACAACTCAAGATCAAAATGACCTAAAACTCATTAATGACAATCCCATCGGATTCATCAGTAACATAAGATCCTGAATCTTTATCGGACATTTACTATTAGTCTGTCTAACACTTGTATTATGAACCATAGGTTTTCCTTTATAATATCACTCGATATCAAGTAGAATTGAATATTTCTACTTTCAAATTCCTTATTTCATTCTTAAGGAAATATGTATAACTTATCCATATCAAAAAATAATATTCTCGAGTAGTTGAAACATTTTCAATCTCAAATGAAAGTCTCAATGTTCACATCGTTCAATAAGAAAACTTGATAAATTTTATTGCAATAACTTCATAGCAGTTAATGATAAAATCACACTATCAATCAAATTTACTATTTTTCCTCACACTACGAACCTGAAACTTTTCAAGTTCTTGAAATTCAATTTCGATCTGTACTATAATTCTTTGCAAAAGGAAAGGTTAGACAATTCATTTTTCACATATTTACCTCCACAAGGTAACTCTATCCATTTTTATGGACTTGATATTTATTTTCAATCCAACTCATAACCATTTGATTCACTATTAACTGAACTTCCTTTAAACTTTTAGCGGAAATCATATTTAGTGCTTACTCAATTTCTCTTACTCAAATCAACAATGATTTAAACAATTTAATGCTTAGCTTAAATATTTCTCACTTATTTATGCTTACCTGGAGAAACCTCATAATCATCACTAGATTTAGAAATCTCCTCTGGATCCTTATCCGATTCAACTTTTCTTGTAAGTCACTCAAACCTTTTAATCAATTCTTCCTATTCAAAAACTTCATTAAAAGCTGGGGAATTTCTTCAACAAAATGGAGAAAAATCCTTTATAACATCCACCCTTCTAAGGTGTTTTACATAAGTCATGTCGGGTTCTTTTTTTTTATTTCAATCTCAACTTTCTTTTCAACATTATCAACATTATAACCTTTGTCTTTCATTCCAATATCTGAACATAATCAGAATCATCATCCATTAGTAAAGAGTAACTTTACTCCCAATAAGCATCATCACATTATATATACAACTATCAGTAACTTTTGACATCCTAGTGGCATGTATACAATTTTTAACTCAAAACAAACTCAATTTAGTCCTAGAATCGGCTAAACCTGTAGCTCTGATGCTAATAAATGTAACACCATTAACCCATATAATTATACCTATACAGATTATAGATATCCGAATTTCTAAAACCATTTTCAATCCAAAACTGATTTAAAATTTATTTAATTGAAATGGTAACTGATATTATAAAAATATCATATCATAAAAATCATGTTTCGTTATAACAAATTTAATACAAAATATTTATTTATGAACAGTGAATAGTGAAGGTATCGGTACCCCTGTAGCATTATGGAAATTTTTAAGCGTGGTTACTGTTATTGTAGGAAAATTGTATTAAAATCAAATACTTTTCTTTTCCCTTGATTCCTTGGAATCAAACACAACATACCTTCTAATATCTAAATAATACTTTTTGACTTACCATCCGTCTATGAATTAAAAATCGTTCTGAAATTCAATCATGTACCCAAAACTTTATGCAATTATTTCATAAATCTTTAAAATGAACTTTGTATCCCTGTCGAATATAATGGATATTGATACTCCTTGTAGTCGAACAATCACCATATTAGCAAGTCGTTTTCTAATCTCATCCTGATCAAAATGCCATAATCTAGGAACACTAATTGCTTCAATAGTCCCATCAGCATTGCATGCCATAATCTAGGAACACTAATTGCTTCAATAGTCCCATCAGCATTGCATTGTGTCTTAGATTCAAAATCTGAGATTGTTTGTTTTGTATCTGCATTAAAAGGGGCTTTTTGTACCGATTAGTGTGACGTTTCATGGCATTATTTTCATTATTAGATGCACAAGATATTTTTGAGAACAGTAAATGCATTCAACAAGAGATATTTCACCCTCTCATACTTTAAAATGATCCCATACAGCAGAGGTTTTTTTTTTTCTTTTTACCTCTTTCACTTGTAGCTTCAACGGTATTTTCCCTTTCCTTTTGTTTTTTGTACTTGTTGGAGTCTCCATCACAATATCAGGTTCCTTAGATGACACAGCTGAGGAAGATATATTTCTTAAATCATCGTTTTCTCCCATTATCGACATAATCTAAAACAATTATTACATTAGTACACAAACATAAATAATTTTACGTTTACTATGCTTTGAATTATCATTCCATCGACACTATAAGTAAACATGTAAAGCCTGTTCACATTAATAAGATCTCAAAGAAGAAAAGCTATATATGAATATATGATGGCCTTTTATCAAGGTCTGTCTATTATGATGGCTGCTAAAGTTAGGCAGTGTAAAACTAGTGAACTAAATAAGAAACACACTACATAGCAGAATACAAACCAGGGTATTGAAATTGTGTGAACGTTTATTTCATCATGTAAAAATAGTCAAGTCCATTCCAATAAACCAGGATTTGTCTATTTGATAAAGTACAATAAATGAATAAATATAACACCACATGTTTAAACACAACATCACTTGGAGAGAGAGACACATACAAGGATTGAAAGTCTAATCCAGAGTGTTCGTTACCCCTAGAATGAACTAACAAAAATAGGAACTATAGGCATTAGGAATACAGGGACTATAGGCATTAGGAAGAATTAAACCAAAAATATGAAGTAGTTCTCAAAGATGCTGAAATTCTGGGTTTTTATTCAACTATCATTTCATTTGGGGCTAAGATCTTCTACAACAGTACCCAAATTTAAAACCAATTAAAAACATATACAAATTCATTTAATTTCTAGAAGAGATCAAAACATAAAATTTCAGCTTTGCAATGAACAAATTTTGTTTGATCTTGAACGATGAGACTTACTTGGAGAGTGCAGATGGAGATGAAATAGCACCAGTTTGGGTCTCTCGCAGCCTCACCTGCTTGATTGGTCGCTTGATTGTCCGGCGACCGTGCGTGAACGCCTGAACGATGGCTTGTGAAAAATGGGAAAAAGGGATTCGTGCGTGAGAAAGGGAATAAGGGATTGAAGTGTTTTGATTTTTTAATAAAATATACTAAAAGTAAAACAACAAAGCTGAAAGGGTACGGGTACCGGGTCGGTTAAGTCATATTTTATGACCCGGGTCCAACCCGAAAACCTGAGAAAAATAGCGGGTCAAATATTCAACTCAAAAAATTCAGTTATTTTAAATATATAACACAATTTTTTATCGAATCAGTGGGTCGACAAATTGAATCATCCTGATCGTGTAATTTTAAATATCCTAAGTACCGCTACCTAGTCAACAACTCACACATTTTAAAATTGATCTATATATATCTATGGAAAAATCACACAATTTGATAAAAATTTTCAACAAAATTATATTTTTGAAATTTTCAATTCTTTAGGCTTTTTAGTGGAACAACTCTTGTTCCTTTTGCATGAAACCAATACCCACGTCGCCACAATCAATTTTGTTACCATTTAATAAATAATGAAATAGATTAAAAGGCTAAAAATATTATTATAATATATTATTACTTCTGATTAAAATTTTAATCAACTATGATTTTAAATAATTTTTTTTTTTTGAAAATCATATAAACTTGAAATGAATCAAATAATTAAAGCATAAAGTATGAATCTCATACAAAAATACCATACAACAAATTTAAAATTGAATCCATATCATACAAGTGAATCTGATGTCACTATTGGAATCATCCTCGTGTATTGGAATTGCCAGTACATTCCATGGAAAATGAAAGAAATTAATTTAGCTATCTCTAGAGATTCATGTAGGATTGAGGAATCCGTGAAGAATGAAGTAAAATATTATCTTATTTTACCTGTGAATAAAATGTTGAGATGACGCCTATAATTCCCAATCCACTTGACGTGATGTCGAACGAATTAGAACGTGAAACATTCTACTCTTTACGTCGTCCACCCAACTAAAACAAACATGAGCAAAGAACAAATCAGAAATTTTTTCCAATGTTTTCAAAATCGGACCGGACATTGAACCAGTGAAAGTACTGGTTCATTGGTTTACTGGTTCAACCGCGGTTGAACCGGATTTTATATAAAATAATATATTTTTTAATTTTATATAATATTTAAAGCAATATTAATATATATGTAACACTTTTTTTAAGTTTACAATATTAGAAGGTATAAAAATATCACAAGTCATAACATGTATAAATGAAAAACCATAAAATCAAGTGAAACAAAATGATTCAAATCAACTACAACATAATATTTAAGGTAAAACATATTAAATAATAAATATAATTATATAACTATAATCAAAAAAATAAAATTGGGGCTTAAAAAAATTATAACAAATGATGTCATTTGGTTTAATTGTTTTAAAAAAAACATTCCCACATGGCTAAGAAACATAGAAGAGTATCCCAAAAGTTTAAAGAGTAAAAATATGAGAACAAAACAATCTCACATGGCTAAGAAACATAGAAGAGCATCCCAATTTACTTCTATAAATAATAGAGGTAATTTGACATTCAAAATCATGTAGCTTTTTGGTGAGCACAAAGCGAACTATTCTTTCGCTTCAATTGAGCTCAAATTTTAGGCTTCAATTGAGCTCAAATTTTAGGCTTCAATCGAACTTCTAATTTTTTTTTTTGAGTTCAAGCCTTTTCGATTTCAAGTTTTAATATTATATTTCGAGTTGATAATTTTTAGCTCGTGAGTTTTTGAGTCGAGTTGAGCTTACTTTTAAAGTTTTCGAGTTCGAGTCGAGCTCAGCAATACTCGAATTTGACTCGGCTCGTTGAACAAACGACGTCGTTTGGTTTAATTTTTTTTAAAGAAAAAAAGTGAACCGGCGGTTCAAACCGGTTTTGCCGGTTTTCAGCCGGTTCACCCCGATTTCCCCGGTTTTCAGCCGGTTCTTCCGATTCTTTACCGGTTCTGTGCTAATTCGATTTTGGGAGTTAACTGAACCGGACAAGCCACCGGTTCACGGTTCAACCGGTCGAACCGGCCGGTCCGATCCGATTTTAATAACATTGATTATTTCAGAGAGTATTTAAAATGGCTGTTAGACCATCCTACATATACTTAGTGTTTTTATAAACCTAAAACTCTTGGTCTTTTAGTTTATAAGACTCTCTCTAATTTGAATTTTGAATTATCCTTAAATATAATATGTGATAAATATATTTTAATTATTATAATAACAAACTATAATTGTCTCACAAAAAATAATTTCATATGTATCATACTTTTATTAAAACATATAATTACAATAATTATATATTTAATTATTATAATCAAAATTCATTATTATCTCATAATAATACTTTCGATTGTATCATACCTATTTTGTATACAACATACTTGTACATATAATCTGTTCACTATTTAACTATTTAATTAAATTAATCAATTTAATTCATGTGAAATATATATATATATATATATATATATATATATATATATATATATATATATATAACCAACCACGCTTGGATTCCTTTCTTTTCAATAATAGAATATGACTATGTAGGTTCTTGTAATATTAGTACTAATATTCAAATAATTTTGATATTAGAAACAATGAGTGATATCAAACAATATTAGATCTTGATGTGATTATTTTAGAATTAACATGACCACTTACCTTTATAGGACATTCAACTGAAGAAATATTATTAGGAATATTGAAGTATTTATTTAGCAAGGCTAGACAGACATTCTCTTATCAAGGCAAGAAAAAAAATTATTGGATTCCATACGAATACCGTTTAAAGATCACAAGTAGAAAATCTTCAAAATTGACGATATTTCCACTTATTGAACTAACGAAACGATTTATTCACAAAATGGACTAATCATATCAAAGAATAGAATTCACAAAGTATGTGGAGACATATATCACAAGGATCGTCCTCTAAGATAAAACTGAGGACCTACGATCTATAAGGGTCGAGTAAAAGATCACTCTTAAAGACGTATAGGTTTTTTGAAATTTGCTCTGCACGGGTTATTGAATTTGTCGGAACCTTCTTTCGGTTGGGGCCCGGAATCGGGCTTCGACTTAGGAAAATGGATTGGGTTGGAGTCGCCACCGACCACTTTAAAACGAATTTAGGTGGGTCGGACACCATCTTACTTGATCTGCGTTGTACCAGAAACGTGTCGGGTTCGGGAGTCGATTACGGTCAAGGAAGGATTAGCACCCTTGAACCGTCCTTTCGGTACCAATTAATTTGTCGGTTGTCTTAGTTGCGAAAATTAAAATTTAAAATTTGAAATTTAAAAATTCGGTTCGAACCGCATTACTTACCTTTGATTAATTGAGATTATTACTGAAAAAGAAAAAAATGTTAGGCAGAGAAAAACAATATATATAAATAATGGTACTAAAAAAAAATAAACTGGAGGAAAAATAATAATGAAAATATGTATACCAAAGAAATAAAATACAATAAAATTAAAATTAAATAAAAAAGAAAGAAGTATTAAATGGATAAAAAATTGGTTTAAAAGTAAAAATGAAAACCATATGAGGTAAAAATAGTAATAATAATTAAAAAAACATGATAATAATAAATAAATAAAATAAAATAAGAAGTTAGGGATCAAATTACAAAAATATGTAAAATATAAATGAGGACCAAATTGAAACAATTGAAAATCCAGCGGCCAAATTGCATGTGGTGACTAAAATGAATTGCGACTCAAACTTACAGGGATCACGGAAAGGATTTAAAAATCCTGTATTTTCATTTTAGTCCTCGGTATATAAATACCCAAAAACACTTCTATTCCTTCATTCTCACCATATCTCAGAAAACCTATCTCTCTCAACTCTCAAAACTCTCCCTTGGCGATTTCCGGTCGCCGCCTCGTGTCTCCTCCGCCGCTCCGGCCACCGCGCCGGCCGCCACTGCCGGCGGCCTATGAAAACCCGAACCTCACCAAAATAAACCTCACGTCCCTGTGAACCCAAAATCAACACTCAAATACCCAAACAACCCCCTTATCAGAGTAGATCTAAAGAAAAACCCTTCGGGTTTTTACCTTTTCCGGAGACCTTTCGCCTTTTCCGGTGGTTTCTTCTCGGTTCTGACGCGTACTGCTTTTTGCTTTTTGTGTTATGTTTGCATGTGGGTTTTGGTTGGTTATTCTTGATCTGTTGTCGTTTGGTTTTCTCTCGATCTGTTGTTGGTTGTTTTGGTACTGTTGATTGTGATGTTGTGGTGTTGTGATGTTCGTGGGTATTGGTTTCTCTTGGTTTGTTCTTGGTTTACTGTGGCTATGGCTTTCAATGTTCTGGCAATGTTCTCGGGGGTTATCCCCGTTCCCTTTTGGTGTCACCGTGATGGGGTATTTATACCCACCCCACTGGTGGCCTGCTCCGATTATAACGGGGTTGTTCCCGTGTACTTCGCGCTAACGTTGTTCACGTAGCCGGGAATCCCGGGATGGTGCAGTCCCGGTTTTCCCGGCCGGTTGGTGCGCCGTTTGACCGTTTGGTTTCTTTGACTTGTGCGGCGCTGTTGATGATAATATGAGGGTGAGATAAAACCCTAGCTTCCTGACCGTTGATCATCTCTTGATCTAATGGTCCCCTGTAATGCGGCGCTAGGATGAAACCTGAAACCCTAATCCGCTGCTGGGCTGGTTCAGGCCCCAATTTCGTTGGACTTCTATTGGACTCAAAATGGACCTGACAATAAAAATGAAAATAAAATTAATAGAAGATAAAAAAAATAACGATAATAATATTATTATAAAAAATGTTTTCAAAATTATATAGTTTTTAAAAATGTTCTTAAAACTTATATATCATATAAGTTTTCAAAATAATGTCAAAACTATATAATATATGTGTTTTAAAAATGCTTTAAAAACTATATATATTTTCAAAATGTTTTAAAAATTTTATAATATATATTTTCAAAAATGCTTTAAAAACTATATATTATATTTATTTTTAAAATGTTTTAAAAACTATATATATTTTCAAAATGTTTTAAAAACTATATAATAT